ACGTTTCAATTTTGTTAAGAAACAAAGAGGTTGTCTTTTCCTTTTAATTATAGTTTGTGCTTTTATAAAATAGTTTTTTCAAAGGAGATGTTTAAAAACTGACTCACCAGTATTGAACTGACTGGTCAAAAGTCACCACTTCATGTACTGAAGCTTTAATTGAAGTTTATTCAAACACTTTTGAACAAATATTCAGTTATTGTAATTTAGCGTGTGTAAACACCTACTTGTTCAAGCGCAGAATAAGGCAAAATCCAAAGATAAGGGAGGGAAGAGAATGTAAGTTGAGTAGAGGAAATCGGAGGGATGGGATGAGAGGAGCCATATTGATCACCCTGCTCCCTGAGTCTCTCTGTGGTTTTAATGGTCTGACTTTCACAGCTGGAACGGTCTCTGCAGTGTTTAGAACAGATAGCATGAGCCTCTAGTCTACACACACATGCATGCACCTAAAGTACATGAATGCCTCTCAGACAGGTCAATGCACCCCAGGCCCTCAGTCAATTCAGTTCGTTGCATTGTTGCGCATGGGTTACTAGAAGACTTCAGACCAGTAGTGATTCTGAAACCATCCAAAGCCAGGCAGGGCTAAACCTTATTGATTTCTGAATAGGACACCACAGGACATTTAAAAGAGAATATGGTTTAAGCTCGAGTCTATGATAAAGAATCATGGATAAATAATATATGTTACTCTTCTATTGATAACTTGAATGGTCAATGCAGAATATGTTTTTTTAACAAAGCATTAAATGAAAAAAGAATTGCACAAGGAGAGTTGTGTTTTCGGGTGGATTTAATAATTCATCCTCTGTTCCTGCAGAATAAAAGTTAGAGATAACATAATAACATTTTCAGTTTCATATTTGTATTTTGTGCCTCTAGTGCAGTGTTTCTCAAAGTGGGGGGCACCATGGCCTTTGTGCCCCTCACACTGCTAAAATCTCGAAGTTGCTTTAAAAGCGGCAGAGCAGTGGTCTGGTCTCTGAACTGCATTATGCTGCGTTCACAACGGACGCGATATGAATATTCGCATTGCTCTAATCGCTGGAGTTTCACTGCGGCTGTCAGCTGTGTTTACGTGCTGGAGAGGGGGCGGGGCTTATATCAACTACAACAAAATGAACATATTTTACCGTGATTTAATTATAATACACGTTTCAAAATGATGCCAAAGTAACAAAATACTGACAATGGTTAGTAAAAACCATGAATTGGTTGAGTAAAAACACATGATTGTTCATAGTTAATCGCGATTAATCGCACATTTTTTATCTGTTCTAAATGTACCTTAGAGGGATATTTTTCAAGTTTTTAATACTCTTATCAACATATGAGTGGACAAATATGCTTTATGCAAATGTTTGTTTATTATCATTTGAACAATGACAAATATACTCATGAATCAGCGACGTGCAGTCAGGGGAGGCAGGGGAGGCAGAGCCTCACCTGTCATACTCCAATATAACGGAAAAACAACTAAAGAAAAACTAAATAGTAATAATAATAAAATGTATCCACTGATCTGTGTTGTAAATGTGATTTATGTATGATTCCAATCGCTTTTTATAGTCAAAATCAGCAAATTTGCCGAGCTCCGCTACAACTACGGCTAGCGATGAGGCAGGGACGAGCTCTGCCTCATGTAAGCCCACAGTAACTGGCTGGAGCGCGGGCACTAATTTAGCGCGGTCACTTATTTTGTGAGCGCGCTCAAGCCAGTTACTGTGTGGTGAGGTGAGGCACAGATGAGCTCTGCCTCACCTCAGAATGCGTCACCCCACAGAAACTGGCTGGAAAGCGGGCCCTAAGCGCATGCCTGCACCATCTCCCTGTGTGTCACCAATGTAATGTTTGTAGATCCCTTTATTACATTTATCCTCGCCATCCATAGTCTCTAAATAACTTATTTCACGTATATATGATATTTAGGCTCGCCGTACAACGGCAATGAAAAAAGCACCAGGAGAGGCAGCCATAACCTTTGCCGCACTGAAGGGGGCGCACGTGAGCCCACAGGTTCTTGTTGCTACTGTTATTCTATGCAGAGACGGTATAGACGCGAACAACAAACTAGACTTTTGAAACTAGAGGAAGATAAGGAGGACTTTTACAAAAAAGTAATAGAGATTGTTGTCCAGAAGGATAGCATGGACTTCATCTTCAAGTCAAGGTAAGACCACATTGGTAATGAACATGGGATCTTACTAAGAAAGAACAATCCAATATTTAGATGTTGGGTATCCTTTTGTTGAACGGTCTGTTTAAAATGAATTGAAGCATCAGACTAAAAAAGCTTTTGAAAATAACAGAATATTTCGATTAAGGTCAAAATATAAGATTTGTAAATCTGACTCTGAAAGAGTCAGTGCCTCACCAGCCATGCGTGCGTGCGTGCGTGCGTGCGTGTAATCCGCGCGAAATGCCGCTCCTCTGTTTTCATAACTGTCAAAGCATGAGATTGAAGTTCCCACTGTGGGTCAAAATAATGCTCTGTGGCCCAGAGGTAACTGTCATTACTGAGTGAAGTCCAATAGTCTCCGGTGAGCGCAACTGTGGAAGTCTTTCTTAAATCCTCCTCTACAATCGCTTTTTGGACTTCATACAAGTTGTGTATTTTCGACACAGTGGTGGCTCTGGAAGGCAATTCATAAGTGCAGTCGTTGGATGCGACCCGACTTATATCACGCAGCCCCTCGTCCTCCACAATGTTAATTGGCCTGCAAGCTGTCGCCACCCATTTCGCGATCTTTGTTGAAAGTTTGCTGCTCGTAGACGTGTCCAGGCGTCTCCCCCCCACACTTTCAAGTGTGGTTTGCTGCAAGCGGGCGGCAGGAGCGGGGCTGTCGGCATCAGCAGTGTGCTTGGATTGTATAGATAGTATTTTAAACTCGATGCGCTCTGAAACTACGGGGCGGCCGAGGACAAAATATGCACATGCGTTAATCGCGTTAAAATAAGATTTTTTTTTTTTTGCGTTAACGCGTTATTAGCTGGCCGGCTCTGTTGTGATTGGTCAACCGCTAAGAGATGTCCCACCCCTTAGCCTATCACGTAAAATGAGTGGAGGGCTAGCTAATAGAAGCGTGAGTGTTACATAGTGAAGTCATTATGTTACAGGAGTAAACAAAGGAGTCCAATCGAGGTGTTTTAGGCAGGGGGGGGGGGGGGGGGGTGTCTTGGAGAGAAACTCTGTCTGGCGTCAATTTTGGGACTTTGCACACCATTTTCATCCACAAAAACCCATATAACACACTAAAGGGAAAGGGAAAGCCCCGTAATGCTAATCGGGCCTATTTAATACATGTTTTTTCACCAGCTTGTATAAATCCAGTATGTGTTTTATTGTTATTTTTATTTGGAATAATAATGACACTATGTTGATGCGTTTCCACCTGTTACTTGCATGATCCTTCCTTAAGGGTATCGGCACTAATGACGGCGCACTTTGCAAACACTCACTAAAAATACTATTTAAAAACTGCCACTTCAGCCTTGTGCAGCTGTCCAATAAAAAAACTGCATATGTCTGAAGCTGAATGCGTCACATCTGCATTTAAAAAAATCCAATGCAATAGTCAGGGTCAAGTCTTCCTGTGGTAATCCGCTTTTATAATCGTAGCTAGTAGCCATCCGGTTGTCTCCCTTAGAAAACATAATAAATAACTACCAAGGCTTCAAAGAGTTTATCAATCTTCTCAATGAAGGCCAATTACCTACCATTTAACACCATACAGAACAATATACTGCTATTGAGACCATCTCACTTAAAAGGTACTGTATATCACCAGCTTTTATTGATCATTTTGATAGGTTGCACTCAAGGTTATAAGAATTGGACTAAATGGTGGTGAAGCTCTATTCAATTGGCTAGTTATCACCTTGGCCCGATTCGTGTATTATCTTGCCAGGATTTCAAGGTTTTAATTGATCCTAGTTGCCTGATTGTAGGCCTTTCCCAGTATTTGAGACGAAATTGCGCAATGTAGCTTGGAATCCTTATTGTCAGACCTGTCGTCTTCTCACAGGGACACGAGACGCTCGGGTTTCAAGGACCTCATTGATCTTTGGGTGAAATATGCAGGTTGCACTACTTGGATTGAGTGAAAGGCAACAGGCACTGAAATGATAAAAAAACAAACAAGCATGATGGAAGATACCTTGTTAATGGGAATCTTTCCAATCAAACATCCAAATTGGTCTCGATAATCCTGTATTGGTTCGCGTCTATGAAAGGTGAAAGGTTATTGTGTGAATCTCTTTCCAAAATCAAACTGCACATCATGATAAACAATACATACTATGATATGCTACCTCTACAAATCATGATATGTGAATTGTATTACCTAGGCGAATCGTCTTCAATTAGGACATATGAGAAAGTCTATATGCGTTTGCTGGGACAACACTTATTAAGAGCTGTAGGATTGGCTGTTTGATGCCACTCACTTGAGTTTATATATTTCCCTTCATTCTACCACATTGAAAACTTTGCTGTTGTTAAACATACCCAACATATACAAAGTAATGTAACCACATGATTAATCAAGGCCTGGCTATCAGATTGTATGTGTTTAAAATGTAAAGTAGAACTAAATGGCCTAAACTTGAAGTACATTGGACAAAATACACAATATATGGGAAGAAAAATAGCCTTATTTGTTTCTTAAATAAAATATGTAACACATCATTAAAGACATACCAAGACAAAGGACACATCTTTGTCTTCTCGTAGGTGCAATTTGTCCCAACATGAGAAAGCCAGTGAACTATCGATGTAGAGCTGAGGAACATCTTTCAGCAGGTTCACTTCCATCACTGAGATAATTAACCCTACTATTAGCAGCTCTGACCTTTCACTTCTGCTCCGTTAAAGCTGGGAAAGTGTGCCGAAAACACGGACAGTCCTTTCACCTGAGAGCATGCAAAAGGTCGGAGGGTGTGGCAGATGTGCAGATGGACTAACTCTCGGTTCTTTCTTCTTCTTTTTTTTCTCTTAGAACCTGCTGGTCAATCACGGATGAAGAGTGGCAGGAAAAGGGTAAAAGTGTTATTGACGTAGGCTTTCACTTTGGCACTAGGAGCGGCACTTGTTGCTTTCCTGTTTGGAATTATGAGAGAGATTTGCTGTTAGCATGCCATGTTTTAAAAGAAAAAAGTTCTTATTATGCTATTTATCTGCGGTATCATCTGGTAAAGTTGCTTTATTATTCTGCACTGTTATATTCTGCAGGGAAAGCTTTTCGAAAGAGAAATGAGTGAGTATTAGATTTATGGTCGGAGTCGGTACACTTTCTATTCAGTCATTCACAAGATCAGCGGAAAGTATTTCTGAGATTTGTGCTGTGAAGATCATTCAGGGTCATCATCTGAATGTGAGATTCAGTTTTCGTCCAAACCTCTGCTTCCTTTGTCGGTATGAAAAGGAAGGAAATCATTTCAGGTGTGAGATGAAGAGTGCATAGGGACCGTCCTTGTTTTGATTTTTGACTGAAAAAGAAGAACTGATTCGGTTTTATCGCTATTGAGTTTGTTGGTTTTATATTTTTTTAACAACACAGGAATAAGCTCAGGTAATCTTGGCCATGACTTAAATCCACCAAACCTGTGATGTATTGTATGATTTTATTAAACCATTCATATCCGGTACAGTATGTGTCTAAAGTTCTTTCTTTCACACTATATTTCCCCTTATATGTATACTTACACTTAATTTTTAAAGTTTTTTCCTTTTTGTAAAAATCAAGTATAATTGGTGTTTATCTTTTGATTACTAAAGAGCAATGAACATACCTACATGTACCTCAAAACTCTCACCTAACCTATGCTAATTTGTATGGCACAGGTTGAGTAGTTCAGGTATATGAAGGTATGTTTGTGAATTAGATCATCTATTAAATATGCAGGTACAGACAAAGCAAAACATTAAAATTTGACATTTTACAAATACTTACACAACAGGGTTCCCAGGGTCCTTGAAATCCTTGAAAGTGTCTAAATATTGGATAGAACAATTGAAGATTTTGAAAATAAATAGAAATTGGTCATTGTATGTTGATTTGTGTCTCAATATGTGCCGTTTCAGATCCTTAATTTTAAGGGGAAAACATCTCGAAAGTCCATAAAAAGTCCTTGAATTTCATTTTAAAGAAGTTGTGGAAACCATGAACTACTTGTATGCAGAGGGTGCTAATAATGTGTTACACTAACACAGCATTAAACACTGTTTGATGAAGTAATATAACCCATTGACTTACTGTTGCCTCCTCTAGTAGAGCTTTATAAAGTTACTGCTGGAAACAAAAACTCCTACTACAGCTAGTTCACATTAAAAACTTTGAACTGGTGAAACTGGGACTTTTTCTCATTCAGTAATAGTGAGTGCTGACCACTATTATTGACCCAAAATGCTTCTACAACACTGTCAGTGGCCCAGTTTGAATAATTGCAGGCAATTATGGAGCAGCCACAGAGAGCTGTTGGATGGAGAGCTCAAAGCAACAGGCTGCACACCTCTAACTCCAAGAAAGGTAATTATTTTTACTGTGCACTGATGTGTTGAAAACGACTTATTCCAATCCCAACATGTGATCATTTTGTGGCTCTTCATGGCATGAAAAAAAAACATGACATTGTTTTGCTGTGCTCTAAACAGACACCAGTGCTCTGCTTCTGTATTCTGACAAAATAGCTGCTCCACAAGGGTTTGCTGCTTCCAGATTTCTGAGACATGTCATATCAATTTGAACTTGAACTTTATTTCAGTTTCGAGACGTCTTAGTTGTGAGGTGCAACACAAATAAGTGAGTATTATCATCTTGTTATCTACTAATAACTCTGCTACATGTGCTATTCATACCCTCGCAGCCATGTAACCGTGACGTAGTTGGATTACAGCCAGACGTTAGCTTTTGACCTCTGGGTATGGCCTTTTTTGCTTAAAAAATCATAACATTATGTTTATATGCGGAGATTATCTTGCTGGACACAATGTGCAAGTATCATAAACGTTTGCTTAAGATCATATTTTGTGCAATATTTCAGAAATCCGGTGTAGAAATCCCATTGACTACCGTGAACTCAAATGTGTGATGTCCTCAAGCAGTCTGGAATGGCTCTCTAGAAAATGTATTGTGATCGATCTTAGGGTTAGGGTCAGGGTTAGCCAGGGAATGTTCTGAATATATAAGTACATTTTGTCAGGTTTCTCTTTGGTTATAACAAAGGTAAACAAACATTCTCTTTCATCTTCCGAAGCAAAGACATACCAAAATACTAATAACAATAATTTGAAACAGGAGGCAAACATTAGTTTCAGTAGGGTCTTCTCACAGTCATGCAACAGATGGTTTGACAATGAACATGAACCAACGCCCCTTAGAAGACATGCATTTGTATCACGATTCATATTTAATCTGCTTACAAACAGCTGCTAGTCCTCAACCTCCCAGCTTTTTAGCCTGTGGGATATACCATCAAAAATAATTAGGAAGACAAAGAAAACTGCTGTCCTCAGGCTTGAGCTGCAAATAAATAGAGAAAAAGAAATGCGGGGTTGAAAACAGAAATTGAATGCTTAAAATAACTGCAATTCACCTTTTCGTGTTTATTATTTTGACATGAGAAGAAGAAATATGTGGATTATTTTGCCAAAGCTGTGTGGACTTTTCCGTGGCAGGTGTGTGTCTCCTGTGAGCCAAATATGGTTGTACCCAGGTGTGCAATAATGTACTCGATTGACTTAATGTAACAAGTTTGACTCGAGTGGCTACATTTTTCTCTGCTCGTTGCTCATTCTTCCTTGAGTTGTAGCTTTCGTTTCTGTAGTGAGGCTGCGGTAATTGGCTCGGATGTTGGCAACCCTCTGCTGCTATGCACCTCGCTGTCGAGCTGTTGCACACACGCACACATTTGGGCACTAGCGGCCAATCTTAATAAAATAAATGACACGGGGGGGGGAGGGGGGGATGCAGTCACGCAGATGTTGCTACGGTAACAGCGGTGAGCAAGGGGCTGGAAGGCAGCAGGTTAGGAAAAGAGACGTGAGGAAGACGACGTGAGGTGCATTCGAATGCATCCTCGCTCCCCGCAAGTTGATCCCATGTCATACCCAATTACCGTTGCAGCGAGGGGAAGGGGGGGGGGGGGGGTGTTGAGTGGGTGTAGGGGGCCCGGGGGTGGGGGTTGCACAAGGAATACAGAAAGAGGAAAAAGAGGAGCGTTATGGTGTACGCTTGAACCTTCCCTGCGCCGAGGTAAACACCCACGCTTGTCATTACGCATTCACAAGGGGAAGGTTGTGGCAGAAATCTCTCTTATCTGCAGCTTCAAGAGAACGTGCGTAAGGCGAAGATTTCTGTGGGTGACAACTTCCCTGTGAAATTTAAAAAGAGTGTGTGTGGACTACAGATTCAGCTCTACATACACAGTAGCCCCTGCACTATATTATCATTCTTGTAAGGGAAACTTCTGCAGCAATGGAGAGTCAGGACTCAGAGAGACACGAGGAGAGTTGGAGCTTTGATGTCAAACACTGGTAGTTTATTACAAGTCAACGGCCGGAGAATTCATATCACAAGTCACAGCAGCAAAAGGTTCTGACTGCACGGGTGGGTTGTCATGTCAATTCTGCCCAGCCTATCTCTCGATAGACCTTTTAACTAGTTTACAGAGAGGTAATCAGCATATTGGGGGAGGCGTAAACATCTGTGGAGCTAGAAGAGATATCCCCCAACTAGAAATACTCAATCACTTGTCAGTGGTGTTTAGAAGCCAGCATTCTCACAGTCGTAAACCCCCCCATCAGGCCATAAAACTGACACTTAAGTGCTGGAGCACATTCCTTAAAGGAGATAACAGAATATTGGTTGGTTATCAACGTCAACAGGCAATAAGGTTAAATATCTAGGAGTAAAGACTAAATTATTCCCTCACAATTCTCTTTCGGTGATGCATGTTTGTTGAAAGTGGTGTTTTTATTTCAATTCCCGTATATCTTTATCCTAATGACATTCCACCAAGAAATACATCATTTGTGGTGTATATAACAGTGGCCTACATATCATAGTTTGTGTCCGCATTTCGAACAGTCCTGATAGCAGTTTAATCACCAAAGTAATTGCTAAGATCCGGGAACACAACAGGCATTACCACGAAGTTAGACAAGGAAAGCAACAGGTTAACACTTGCCACACTATCTGCTTCAGTTGGAGTTAAACAGAAAACTATAGTGCTGCTGTAATGTTGCTCATAATTCCTTATTGCATAGAAAAATAAGCAGCAGGACAAACATAATGCAGGGAAGTTGGCAAAGTGTGATGGTTGTTGAACAATAATAGGAATACACAGTATACAGTATAATGTATTATTGCACATGCCTAACTCTGTGAATGAAACACAATTTAAACATAATGTAATGAGGCTGGATAAAGTCTGAACACAGCGCCTCTGCAAGATGAGGTAATAATGCAGGTGTGGATTTGAGGCCCTATAGCTTCTGTATATAATGAGCTTCAGAGGTGTATACAGTGTTAACAACGTATTCCCAATGCATACAATTGCCATAATAACCTCAGTATCTTGATCTCCAGCTTCTCCTGTTCTTAAAGCAGAACCTAAACTGCTCCTGATGTTTCTTTCATTGCCTTGCATATTACATTAGCTCCCTGCCATCGGTGCCTTTTGGAAAAAAGTGCCATATAAAGAGCGGTTATTATTTTTTATTTTTTTTCCAAATATTTGTATTCACATGTAAAAAAAAAAAGTGTAACAGTGCATTACAGCAATTAAGGCATTTTCATTTTTCCCCCCCCAAAAAAACCCTTACTCACTTTCCCTTAACCCCGCCCCATCCCAACCACCCCTCTCCCGGAGTACTGAGGCAACAGTACATCAATACAATACAAAATGATAGATACAATAATATACATGCACATACCTGCATACATACATACATACATACATACATACATACATACATACAGACATACATACATACATACATACATACATACATACATACATACATACATACATACATACATGTACACATACTAGCACATATCCAGGGATGTCACACAGGCTGCATGTGTGGCGGACAGGGGAGTAATCATATCAGAATTATAGACGGATAAATAAAGGGAGAATCCCTACAGCGACACCATATCAGGGGGAAGACGGTCTACATAGCTGATCAGTGGCCTCCAATGAGCGTAAAACTTATCTGAGGAACCCCGGAGAGTAAACTTAATTTGTTCCAACTTTAGAAGAGACATAGTATCACTCAGCCAAAAAGAGCGGTTATTAACCACTGACTAAACAGTGACATGCCTAAAGTAGAGCCCTTGGATCACCTGGGGGTCGGGGTATTCCCACAGCAGCTGAACACTTTTGCCTATTGATAATCCATGCTTGATCTCAGCAATAAACGTGATGCTTAAATTAATATTATAAATAATGGGAATGCTAGAGAAATAATGTACAATATAGGAACACAACATAGTCAACCACCTTGCTATTTAACTATGTTAGTAACTCTATGTTTGCTCTGTAACACATGCTGCACTATCCCTCCATTAAAACATTGTAGTCTACATGCAGAACTGTGATCCCACTTAATGCCTATAACATGAAAACATATTATTGAGTCG